CTTTTTGCATGACGCTCTATTTTATCGCCATGCGACTGCCAGACCGCCTCGCTAGTGCTCGCGATCACTTCCTTAGCCAGCACCCGGGTGACCTCACCCTCACCGCCTTTGTCGACACCCTTACCGAGATCGAGACTCGCCAACGCACTATTGCTCCGTCGAGCAGTGCGCCGGCAGTCTCTATCTTTCACGGCTGTGCCCCCTCCCAGTGCACGTTCAATGACGTTTCGGCTGCGGTCGCCACGATGACCCCTCTCACCGAGACGGCTGCTGCGGTCCACCCGCAGCAGTGCTCGCGCCGCTGTGGCTGTGGTTGCCAGGGAGGTAGGGGTGGTGGCGCACGTAGTGGTGGTCATGGTGGTGGTGACGGTAGTCTGCCTGAGGGGACTACCACCAGTGGGCAGGAGCAGCAGCCCCAGCCGCAGCAGGAGCAGCCCCAGCAGCAGCCGCCGTCCCAGCAGCAGCAGACGTCTCAGTAGCAGTCGCCGCAGCCGTGGGCCTGTCTCCCGCCTGGTTGGCCCGGCACCTCCGGAGGTGGTGGCCGTGGTGGCAGCCCGCGCAGCTCGGTGTCTACCGGCGGCTCCGGTGCTGTCACTTGCCAGTACCAGCTTCAGACCGGGCCTCTTCGCGGCACTCTGTGCCGCCGCCCGCACCCGACCGCCCGCTGTTTCCGCCGCCTCGACGATCTCTTTCGTCGTCGCTTTGGCCCTGCCCCGGACCTCCCCGACTGGCACAGCCTGCTCCGCCAGGGCGTGCCGATCTTTGAGTTAGACGTGGATCAGATAGGTGCTGCTTTGCATGCCTTGTATTCTGACGCTTCTAGTGTTGATGGATCTTATTATCCTGTGTACTCTAGTTTAGGCATTGCACCGTTGTGTAGCTTAGCCTCCCCTGCTGCGTTAGGCGTAGGACTACCTAGTTTGCCTAGCCTAGTCTCTGCACCGGCTCCGTTCCCAGCCTCCGCCACAGCTTTGCTGTCCTTCACTCTCGACTCCGGTGCTTCTGCTTCTTCCGCGACCGTTCCGCGCTCACGCCGCTTGCTACGCCTGCTGTTGTCTCTCTCGCTGACCCCTCTGCGGGTCCTGTCGTCGCTCGCAGCTCCACGTCCCTTCCCTGTCCAGCAGTTCCCTCGGGCTCCCTTACAGGCCTCCACGTTCCCTCGTTCTCCAGGAACCTGGTTGGTGTCGGCTGTCTCCAAGACCTCGGCGTCACCACCATGTTCCCCGGGAACGAGCGGTTCACTGTCTGTTCTGAGGCTGTCTCAGGTTCCCCCCTTGCGACGTTCCCCCGGGACCCGGTGTCCGGTCTGTTTACCCTCGACACCGCTTCCCCCCCGGTTGGTGCGTCCTCCCAGGTCGCTGCAGCTTGCTCGTGTCGGTCCCTCACTCACCCGTCCCTTCTCTGGCACCACCGCCTAGGTCACCCAGCTCTCCCACATCTGCGTCACATGTCCCAGCACGGTCTTGTCTTAGGTCTCCCTGCGTCGCTCCCTGCCCTTCCTCCCTCGACTACACCACCGTGCACGCCTTGCGTCGAGGGTCGGCTCCTCACTCCTCCTCGCTGCGCCCTGCTACTGCCCCCCTTCAGACCCTGCACCTGGACGTTTGGGGCCCTGCCCACGTCCCCGGACTGCGAGGTGAGCGCTACTTCCTTGTGCTTGTCGACGACTACACGCGCTACACCACGGTGTTTCTTCTGGAGCGGAAGGCCGACGTTCTTCTCCCGTGGGTTGTGGCTGCGCGTCTTCACCGCGGCCTCCACGTGTTGTGTCTCCACTCTGACCGTGGCAGCGAGTTCGCCTCTGGTCGGCTTGGACAGTTCTATCGTGAGGAGGGCAACACCCAGTCGTACACCTTGCCGGACTCGCCACAGCAGAATGGGGTTGCTGAGCGTCGCATCGGCTTGGTCATGGAGGTCGCCCGTACCTCCATGATTCATGCCGATGCCCCCATTTTCTGTGGCCGTTCGCTGTTTGCTACGCTGCTCACCAGCTTAACTTGTGGCCACGCTCCCAGCGGCCGCAGGTTTCGCCGACCCTCCTTTGGACCGGGTCCCCGGGTGACGCGTCTGCGTTCCACGTCTGGGGCTGCCTTGCTCACGTTCGTGCCTCTGGCACGGACAAGCTTACTGCCCGCACTGTCCCCTGTGTCTTCCTCGGTTTCCCCCTGGAATCGTCTGACTGGCTTTTCTACCACCCGTCGTCTCAACGCTTCCTCCACTCTCGTGACGTCACCTTTGACGAGTCTGTCTCCTTCTACCGCCGCCTCCCTCACCGCGGTCTCCCGGTTGCCCCGCCCCTGTTCCTTGCTCCCTCTCCCCCGGTAGCCCCTGCTCCTCTCCCGCCTCGCCCTGCCCCATCTGGTGTCTCTCACGTCACTCCCCTCCCGTCGGTTGTCCCCGTTGAGGAGTCCGCTGACTCTGGTGGTACCTCCGGCCCGTCCTTGCCGTGTCCCCCTTCCCCGGTGTCTTCGCGTCCGCTGTCGCAGTCGCCGCCTCCGCCGCCGCCGCTGCCGTCGCCGCTGCCGTCGCCGCCGCTCTTGGCCCCTGGGGGTGCTGGTGTGGAGGAGGGTGTTCGTCCTGCGGCTCCTGGGGGTGCCGCCGGTGTTGGAGGGGGTTCTTGCTCTGGGGGTGTTGGTTCTGGGGGTGCTGCTCTTGAGGGTTCCGCCGACGGTCGTCCTGCCTCTGCCGGTCCGAGGGTTCCGGCCCAGCCGTCGCAGCAGCCGCAGCAGCCGTCGCCGCCGGTCTCCGCTCTCCGCCTGCTCGGTCTTCCCTCCCCGGACCGCTCGCCGGTGTCTCCCCCACCGCCTGCTGACCTTCCTGTCTACGGTCCTGTGTTCCCGCCACCAGACTCGTCTCCGGCCCGTCTTCCTCCTCGTTCCCCTCCTGTGTCCCCTCCGCTGTCCCCTGACCCTACACCTCCGTCCCACGTTTGGCCTCGCCGTCCCTTCTTTGCTCGTCCCGTCTCTCCTGTCCTGCGCTCCCACCCTATATTGCTCCGTTCCCACTCGTCTCGTCCTCCCCTCCTTTCGTCCCCTCCTCCCTCGTCCCTTGCTGTTGCACCTCCTCCGTTCTCTGACTACCTCCGTGCCGCTCGTCCCCTTGTCCCTCGGGTCCTTGCCTCTCTTGTTACCGACCCTTCTGTTCCTGTCTCGCGCCTTGACGCGCTTGTCGTTGCTGTCGCTGACTTTGCCTCTACCCGCCGCCTTGACTACGCCACCGCTCTGGTCTCTGACCCTGCCCGTCCTCTGTCCCTCGGGGGTGCTCCTGCCCTTGGCAGTGACGTCCTAGAGGACAAGCAGTACGAGCTTGCTTTCCTTTCCGAGGCTGCTCCCCATCTCTGATCCATGCTGTTAGTCCCTGAGTGTGACCCAGACGCCTTCGACATCCCGACCCCTCGCACCTACGCTGAGGCGACCTCGGGACCTTGGGCCTCTCCACGGCCTGCGTCAGGCTCCCCGCGAGTGGCACGACACGCTGCGTGCCACGTTAGCAGACCTGCAGTTCTTTCCGTCCTCTGCTGACCCCTCACTGTTTGTGCGTTCCGGCTAGACTCCGTTCTACATCCTTGTCTACGTAGACGACCTGGTCTTCGCTAGTGCTGACAGGGACGCACTGGCCTCTGTGAAGGCCGAGCTACTGAAGAGACACACCTGCACTGACCTAGGAGAGCTGCGTCGCTATCTTGGCCTGCTGATCTTTAGGGACAGAGCAGCACGCACCATCACTCTGACACAGTCACACTTGGTGCGTCAGGTCCTTCAGAGGTTCGGTCTTCAGTTCTCCTCTGCACAGCCCACACCTCTACCTGTAGACCATGGGCTCTCCGCTCCCGTTCCTGAGGTGCCAGTAGAGCCCAGTGGCCCCTATGCAGAGCTGGTGGGTTGCCTCATGTACCTGATGACTTGCACTCGCCCAGATCTCGCATACCCTCTAAGCATCCTGGCTCGCTTTGTGGCTACAGGCAGACACCGACCTCAGCACTGGTCTGCCGCTACGAGGGTTTTGCGTTATCTTGCAAGTACATCGGGCATGGGGTTAGTGCTAGGAGGACGCAGGCCAGTGGTCCTTACTGGGCACACAGACGCTTCTTGGGCAGACGACTCTGAGACGCTCAGGTCGTCGCAGGGCTACTGTATCAGCCTTGGTTCGGGTGCTATCTCTTGGAGATCCACTCGCTCGTCGTCTGTGGCTCAGTCCAGCTGTGAGGCTGAGATCTACGCTGGTGCCATGGCGGCACAGGAGCTCCGCTGGCTGACCTTCTTGCTCACAGACTTAGGTGAGCGGCCTAGCTCTGCCCCAGTCCTGTACGCTGACAACAGGGCCATGATACTCCTGTGTCAGGAGCCTCGGCTTGAGGGCAAAGCGAAGCATATCCAACTGCGGTACTTCGTCCTGCGCGAGTTACAGCAGCGCCGCCAGGCCTGCGTGGTTCACTTGGCCTCAGGTGCCAACACAGCTGATATCTTTACTAAGGCGCTTGCGCCTAAAGATCATCAGCGGCGCTGTATACAGCTTGGCCTTGTTCATGTAGTTACTCACCTGTTAGGATCCTAATTGTGTACTCTCTATTATATATACCTGTGGCCTTACCTCTAGTGGCTGGACTAGTGGTGCCGCCCTGGCTTGCTTTAGTCTTGTTTGTACTCTTGCTGACTGGTCTCCAGACCCTTGCATCAGTGGTTGGACTAGTAGTGCCACCCTGAGCTGTTTGCTTCTTGCTTAGCTTCACCTCTTGTCTAGCCTAGGGGGTGTGTCAACTTATACATATTAGCTATGTAGAAGTTATAGGCTAGAGTGGGGTATGCTTCTAGTGAGTTCAACCAACTAGTATTTGTTCTAGGTTTCTCCTTCTAGTTCATCATTCAGTTCTTAAACACGTATAGCGCACAACTAGCCGAATAGGTACTTTCCCTAGAGCTATAAATCCTTGTAATGCCTTTCTATACTAAAAACCTTGACTTTACACAGAATTATGTGCTCAAGTTATTCAACCTTCTACTACCCATAAATTCATGTGCTCAGGTTCACTCCTATAAGACTTCCGCTGTTTGACTAGTCTACCATTCCAGCAAAGATCCTTGGTTAAGTACCGTACTTGTGGTTGCAGATTCTATACTTAGTCTACTGCACCACCTTTCAAAATACTATAGCCCGTTGGGTAATCCTCTACTAAGGGGATTATTACTTCTACAGTCTTCCCCATAGCTGCTTCCCATACATCCTGCAAGAGGTCTTTCTTTTGATAATCTTAACACGGCTGAATCAGTAGGCAAACACCGTGCGTATTTAAGGCGCACTTGAGCAAACAGCATTCCAGATTGTCTCAACCGTTACATTACGTGTCAGGTGCTGTACGAGGCCACCACAAACTTGGTAACATTCCACTAATACCAGACACTATGCATCTGGGAAGAGGCGCCTCAGTTGGTCCACATTTGTGGGATGGTGGGTGATTGGACAGCGACCGAACTGGTGGGACGGGAAGAGGTGGTGAGGGGATGCCGGAGGGGAGGAGGGAAATGCAAGAGGCCAGAGAGGAAATGGGGGAGAGGAGTGGGGAGGGAAGTGAGACAGGGGAGGGAAGCGAGAGAGGGGAGAAGGGAGGAGAAGGTGAAGCTGGAGATGGCAGGGGCCGTGGGGTTGGAACAATAGACACACACCTTATCACACGCCACATCACAACCTTATCCACATTACCGCAGATGCAGGGGTGGCAGAAGATGAAGCGAGCGGTGGGTCCCTTGGACAGAAGCAATCTGACCAGAGCAAGCCGTTTCAACAACACACCACAGCTTACCTTATCCACATACGCGAAGATGCAAGGGTAACAGAAAATGAAGCCGGAGGTGGCAGGGGCAGTTGGGCAAAATACACTGACATTCTCAACACAAGCCACCACACCATTACGCACCTTATCAGCATATCCACACACCTTGTCCACATAGGCAAAGATGCAGGGGTAGCAGAATATGAAGCCGGAGGTGGCAGGGGCGGTGGGGTTGGTGCGACGGCACAGGCAGAGAGGACACAAGGAGCGGTCAGCCGGCACAGGGATGCCTGCAGGGGCCACCTGGAGACGTGAGGGAGACGGGAAAGGGGGTCCAGAGTAGCGAGCAGAGGCAGAGCGGACATAAGGAGGGATCAGCAGAAACATGAATGCCTACAGAGGCCACCTGGAGACGTGAGGGAGACAGGAAAGGGGGTCCAGAGTAGCAAGCAGAGGCAGAGCGGACATAAGGAGCGATCAGCAGAAACATGAACGCCTACAGAGGCCACCTGGCGACGTGAGGGGTGGGCGAAAGGACAGGGGGTTCAGAGAGACTGGCAGAGGCAGAGCGGCCACAGGCTGTGGTCAGCAGGATCAGGGATGCCTTCAGGGGCAATCTGGCAGGACTGACTGAGGAGGTGTGAGGGAAGGACGGGGGAGACAGGCATGGGCAGTGAGGTGGGTGAGGCAGGGAGCACACAGGCAGAAAATGGTGCGAGTTCAACCAGAAGCAGAAGATAAGCCAAACCAGAGCAACAGAGCACATGGGATGGGAGCAGAAGGACAGCAAGTCAGAGGAAGGTGTGGGAGGGCAGGGAAAGGGAGTGTTGCTGTGGTGGTGCGAGCAGTGGTGAAAGCTGTGTGTGTGCGAGCGATGGTGATCTTGCCTTGGGTGGTGGTGGCGGCGGTGGTGGCGGGTAGACGGTTGGCGCGCTGAGCTTCTGCTCGCCCGTTTGAAACCACCACTCGGCCATCTGAAGAGGCACGGATGACAGGGGTCAGTAGTACATGCGATAGATGAAGGGAGATAGGCAGAGCAGTGGAGAGGCAATGCATAGCTGCATGATCCACCGAGCTTCCGCTCGCCCGTTTGAAACCACCATGCACGGTGAATGCGCGAGAGGAGAATGGGATGGCAGGGATAGACGCATTTCACGGCAGGAGAAGCAGGCCAGAAGAAATGGAACCAGAGGGGAAGGAAGAAAGTGTGCGAGGCGTACCTTGAAGGCGAAGACAGCAGCGATGACGGACGTTTGGGCATAGTCCATGGCGAAATACAGGGCTTTAAGGAGCGCTGCTTGCATGGCCTGCACAGTTATTGGGGACGGTTGGAATCGGGGGCAGGGGGGTATGCAATGAGAGCAACGACAACAGCAGTACTGGCAGGCGTATAAGCCATGGTGGCTGGCATAGCCCATGGTGACATTGAGGGCTTTAAGGACTGCTGCTTGCATGGCCTGCACAGGGGAAGAAGAAAGGATGACGAAGGATGAGGCGTAGGAGGCTCATCGAAAGAAGAGGACGCATTCCATTTGCGCCAAGCGGAACACACTGCCTTGAAAGCAGTAGGCTCATGCGCAGTAGGCTCATGCGCACGGAATAGAAGACCAGGCATCTCAGTCACGTCATTATTAACCTTAGGTCGCTCGCCCTAAAAGGCTATTAACCTTGATTGCCTCTAGAATACTGCTCCCTCAACCTCAGCCACGCTACATGCCCTCTCTCACTCACGCTCACTGCAGACCATTCACCTATCTGGCTCACCCTCAGCGCAGGTGGGCCCGGCAGGCGCTCGAACTCTCGCTGGCGGCGCACCGACACGGAGGAAGAGGCCTCCGCCTGCACGCATGGAGAAAGAGGGAGGTAGGTAGGTAGGGAGGGAGGGAGGGAGGGAGGGAGGGAGGGAGGGAGGGAGGGAGGGAGGGAGGGAGGGAGGGATGTTTTGTTGAAGTGCCTCAGGGGTTGACGGGCAGGCAAAGAGGAAGAGGCCTTGGCCTGTATTAGTAGGGAGGGGAGCAATAGAGGAGAGGAAAACTGGAGTACAAAGTCGAAAGTTGACGACTAAGAGAAGGATGCGCCATTATAGTGGTATTCGTGGGAGGGAGAAAAGGGGTGATGCACATAAATTACACACAAAACACATAGATCTGCATACTCTCCGACTCCCTGCATACTGCATGCGAGCAGCACAACGATACATGTTCACAAACGAAGGGAGTCTAGTTTTGAGGCGCCTCAAAACTAAACGAGCAGCACAACGATACATATTCACAAACGAAGGGTGCGACAACACGGCCAAGCTGCAGACTCACCAGCTCTTGCGGCGTGGCTCGGCGCAGTGAGAGCGAGAGGAGGTGCAGAATGGGCGAGTAGTACGGCGTGGCGTCCATCACATAGAGCAGCTGGTACAGCAGATTCAGGCCTGGGGGGGAAGCGGGGGTGGACCGTAGAGCAGCAAGACACAGAGCACTTCAGCCTTGAGAACGGAACCATGGCGGGGCAGAAGTAAAGCGTGGCGTCCGCCCATGACATAGAGCAGCTGGTACAGCAGGTTCAGGCCTGGGGAAAGTAGAGAAGGAGGACACACACACACAGACGTCTTGGGGAGAACACCACTGAAGAACAGGCAGGTCGAGATGCGCCCCGGACATAGCCCCGTAGACAGAGAGCAAAGGCCCTCACAATACCTTTATATCACCCTCATATAACCGTCAAATCAACATCGTCAGAACACCCCCATCCCATATCACCTTCATTTTCACCTGCACTACAATCATCTTCACCATAATCACCTTCATACGGCGCCTGCAGCCAGGGGTAAGCAGCAGCCGCCCCTTGCACAACCCTTCGCTGCACGGACCGCAGCAATCGCAGCACCTGCCGCCACCTCCTACTGCTGCTCCCCCCACCATGCCTGCTTACCACACTGCCCCTGGCAGCAGCACCTCCTGTCACCACCCAACCTCCCTGCCCGCCTGTCTGCCCCTCTCCTCCAACCCCCCGCGCCTCATGCCCTTCTGCCCCCCCTCCTTCTGCCCCCCCTCCTCCTACCGCCCTCCCCTCCTCTGAAGCTATTCCTTCACCAGTCTCCCCCCTACTGAGCCCATCACCCCTAAATCCACCACCCCTCATCCCGTCACCCACGGAACCAGCCGAATCCAAGCTGCTAGGACTGATGTCACTGTTGCCACGCCCCACACCACCACTGACCCCACCATACTCATCCATGTGCCCATCCGCTTGCCCAGGATCCGCATCCTCACCCGCCCTGCTCATGCCCCACCCCCCCTCCCCCGTCTCACCCCACCCCTCGTCTCCCCCCTCCTCCTCCCCCACCCAGAGCGCCCGTGCTTGTCTCTGCCTTTGCCGCGCAGCAAACAGGGTGTGCAGCTTCGTGCGGATGTAGGGCAGAAGCACCTGACATGCCACAAGGGGATGGCGAAGAAACAGTCAGTGCTGACAGTTGAATCCACCTGCACAGCTCCAGCCTTCCTCTGCCTGTCTCTGGCGCACAGCAAACAGGGTGTGAAACTTGGTGCGAAGGTAGGGCAGGAACACCTGGGGTGCAATCAACAGGTATAGGGTGTCACAGGAAGTGTTGAAATATGACCTCCAGTGACCCCCCCTACCGGCCCTTCCCAAACCACAGCGCCCCTGCTTGTCTCTGCTCGTGTTTTAACCCGTGCTTCCCTCTGCCACTGGCACTCGGAAAACAGGGTGCAAAGTTTGGTGGGCAGCAGGCAGGCAAGGAGCACCTGGCGTGTAGCTATGGGTGTGAGGTGTAACAGACCAGACAGTGTCGAGGTACGAAACGGAACAAGGCGTGACACAGAGCGTCACATGCATGTGGATACACCCAAAACCCTAACCCTGAATTCAAACAGACCAGAAAGGGAAGAAAGGGAGACTGCTGCTTGGGACACATGCCATGTGGCGACGCCCCCTTCTCCGCCTCTTATGGCACCCCTACCTGCATCCCTGACCCTTGACCCTGCTCCCTCAACCCTGCAACTGACCAGAAAGAGCAGGGAAAGCGCTCGTTGCTTGCCAGACATGCCCTGTGATACAGCCCCCCCCTCCTGCCCCCCTGCCGCCCCCTCTCCTCTGCCTGCCCCCTCCGCACCTCCTGCTGCACCCCTTGCTGCTCCCCCTGCTCTCGCTGCTGCTTGGCTCGGAGGAGGGCGACGGGGAACGGTGGAGATGCGGCGAAGGCCGTACATGGACTCGCCGAACGACGCTCCTGATGGGCATGGGGAAGCGGTGTACAAACACGATGAGAATCGACAAGTGGTGATGGGAGGGTGCGGTGCGGAAGGGTAGTGAGGAGGGAGGGGACGGTGGAGATGGAACGAACGCCAAACATGGACTCGCAAAATGACGCGCCTGGGGGGGATGTGGAAACGTGGAGAGATGGTGAGGTAGGGGGGAGTGAGGTAGGGGGGAGTGAGGTAGGGGGGAGTGAGGTAGGGGGCGTGAGGAAGGGGGACGAGGAAGGAAGGAAAGGGGGGAATCGGCAGATGACACCTGGGAATCGGCAGATGACACCTGGGAATCGGCAGATGACACATGGGAGAAGATGGTAGAGACACGGCGAGGTGACTTTTGAGTCGACTCAACAGTAACCTGGGAATCGGCAGCTGACATGGGACACGGGAGGAGACATGGTAGAGACATGGGAGAAAAAGGTAGAGACACGGCGAAGGCCATGCATGGACTCACCGAATGAGGCTTCTGATGGGCATGGGGAAGCAGTGGAGAGGTGGGCATGGGGAAGCAGTGGAGAGGTGGGCATGGGGAAGCAGTGGAGAGGTGGGCATGGGGATGCAGTGGAGAGGTGGGCATGGGGAAGCAGTGGAGAGGTGGGCATGGGGAAGCAGTGGAGAGGTGGGCATGGGGAAGCAGTGGAGAGGTGGGCATGGGGAAGGGAGGAGGGGCCAACAGTGGACATGCGGCGAAGGCCGTACATGGACTTACCGAATGCACTGTACCCAGCACACAACAAGAGCTAATAACGCGTAGTTAGTGTACCATGTGTCTTTAACGAGTGCCACTCGAGCAGCAGCAGCGCAGCAGCGGTGAGCTCGTCGCTGTAGTCCAGCACGCGGTGCAGCGACGGGCGGTGCTGCGCCAGCACCCCTAGCGCGTATAACGCGGCGGCCTTTAGCGAGGCGGGGAGGTAGTCGGCGGCCGCCATCTCGAAGAACGTCGGCCGGCTGCCCTCCGCGCCCGCCGCGTGGAACAACATCGTTCGCGGTAAGGACTGGGGCCCGGAACGATATATTGACAATTCTAAAAAATGACAGGGGTGTGGGACAATCCTCGGCAAGAACTGGGGCCTGGCACGAGACGAGCTCCGTCAAATGGGAAGCCGGAAACTAGGAGTGATAGGGCACGGCGAATCTAGGAGCAGCCGAAAATGGTGTCGACGCGATGGTTGGCCCGCGCGTGGGCCGACGAGGTACGGGTGCTATGTACAACCGACAACCGACAATCTTGGCTTGGTACGCGTGTAAATGTGTCCGCCGCAATCTGCGCTAGAAGGTACTGCTGCTAACGTGGAATGGGCATTTACTAAGCGTCCTTATTAGTGTCATTCGGTGTCATGAATGTTGTTCAAATTTTAGTGCACAACAAAATGCAGCCGTTTCATCTTTCAGTGCGGTACAGCGTGGTTCTGCGCTATATCGGGACGCATTTACACCACCCCATGCAATAGCCAACCTCCATACAGAAATTCGAATCTCGGGAGTGGAATACGTGCAGCAGAACGAGTTCCTCTGGTCATGGCTTTGAGACGTCATGGGGAGTTCTACTGACCAAGTATAAACCGCGGCCGGATTTCGCGACGACTTAGGGATGATGGTTGGCTTATAACGGCGTCGTGCCTCAGTCGCCCTATGAAACCGACGAACGGAAAGCTCCACGAACCATCGCATGTAATCCCACTCAATCGCGATCCGTCCAAGGCGCGATTCTCGGGGTCTCTTTTCTTCGCCATGGCCCCGCGGCTCGCGCTTTTTCTCGTGCTCCTCTCCCTCCTCCACGTCGCGCTCCCCCATCCCATCCCCGCGCCTTCCGCGCCATGCGCCGCGCGGGTGGTTGCGCGGAGCCTCGAGGGTCGCGGGGCGCACCGCCTGCTGCGGACGTCGCTCCACGTGGCTTGCCGCGCCGGCCCGTTCCGTCCACGTCAGGCGGGCGATGCACACGTGGCGTGCGGAGAACCGCACGGTAGAGTGGGTCGCTGCGACTCGGGTGGGGTTGCAGGGGTGATGGGAGGAGAGGGAGAGGAGGGAGGAGAGAAGGAGCGGAAGACGGGTGGGTGCAGAGCGGTGCCAGAGCAGCAAGGCCAGCTCAGAAGCTGCAGTGCGGGTGAAATTTTGGGAAGCGGTGGGCCGGCAGGGGGGACACGTGTCACGATACGAGTGGAGCAGCCGGTACCTCGTGGGCTGTATGCTGATCCGTTTGAACTGGAGAGAGTTGAACGATCAGGTGAGGCGGGGGGTTGAACAGGGGGTGAGGGGGGGGAGAGAGCAGGAGGGTGAAGAGCACTCATTACCAATACCTCACACCAGGTGTGCTGCACTTCGTGGCGCTCCAGGGGGGCACTGATGCGGTGCCTGCTGGTGCTGATACTGGCCAACTCCTCTCTTTCTCCCCACCCCTCCCTCCGCCATCTCTCCCTCCCTCCCCGCCTCCTCTCTTCCCCCCTTGCTCCCCTCCCTTCCTCCTCCTCCCCCTGCCTTTCCGAGCCAGCCAGCGACCGAGCCTGGGTGGTAGGTCCGGTGGAGCTGGAGCAGCCTGCGCCTCGGTGCGAACCAACGGTGGTGGCGATGGAGAGAGACGTGGGTGTGGCGTTGGGGACGGGCACAGGGGATGTGAAGGTGGGGGTGGACAGTCGGCAGCATGGGAGGGAAGGAAGCAGGGGGGAGGAAGCTGGAGAAGACGACGTTTCTTTTTCCGTGGAGTTCACTCTGCCACTGCACTCCCGATACCCGGTAACCACACTTTTCTCTGTACTCCTCCACTACTGCGCCCTTTAACATGTGATTAGGTACTCTGTATTCTGTACTCTCTTGTTATCACGTCTTGTCTTGTTAACCCCCTTTCTTGTCATTAATTTGTTGCATTCTTCTCAACTCCCTCTCCGCCTTTGTTGTGCGTCTGCTTTGTGAATCCCTCACGAGCAACTGCATTCCAGCGTCTTGAGGCGCTTCGCGTGCTTGTGAGGCATTTTTTAGAATTAAAAAAAAAAATCCCAGTGTTTTGAGGCGCTTCACGGTCTCAGACAGTAAACTCATGTAGTAGGGCTCTTTGAAAATCCTTTTTTCCCCTACCTTTCCAAATCGTCTTATTCCCCTTACTGCTCTTTTCCTTTCCTACCCTTTGTGTTTCCCTGCCAGGCTGTGCTGCCAGCTCTCTTCCCACCACTCTCCCCTCAATCCCTCCTCCTCTCCGCCTCTCACTCCCTCCTCGCCCTCACCTCCCTCTCTTGGAACTTACAACAGCTTAAAGCGGCCTTTCACTGGAGCTACTCCTCCCTCTCTGCTCTTCCACGTGCCGTCACTGGCAGCTGCAACCAATCGTATGCGGCGGTTTTCGTGCCCTTTCCCTCTGCATGCGTCGTGCTCCCTCCTCCCGCAATCTGCACATCATCACTATCATCACTATCATCACTATCACCACCAGCATCACCAGCATCACCCGCATCACCGGCATCACCATCTAATTCCGTTTCTATACCCTACTGTGAGTGCCTTCCCATACCCCTCAACTGGTCATTACGGAACAAAGCTGCACAAGAAGAATTGGCAGAGTCAGCAGCAGAGGCGGCAGCGGCGGCAGCAGCAGCAGATCAGAGTGGAGAGTCGAAAGCAGCTGGACAGAAACCAGCGGCAGCAGCAGCAGCAGCAGTAGCAGGAACGGGAGTTGGACATGGGGATGAGGGGGCAGCACTGCTATGGGAGGTACCTGCAGGCTGTGCTGCGCACACGGCTCTTGTGCTCTGGGGCACGTCCCTTGCTGCTGCGGTGGGGGCTCTGGTGCTGGTGATGGTGGCTGCTGGTACTCCGGTGCACACAGGGGGAATGAATTGGGAGAGGTGAGAGACCAAGCAGCAGGCTGGGGTGCGCACACTCCTCTTGTGCTTTGGGGCACGGTCCTGGCTGCTGACGTGCGCACACGCCTCTTGTGTTTTGGGGCACGTCCCTGGCTGCTGAGGTGCGCACACGCCTCTTGTGCTTTGGGGCACGCCTCTGCGCCCTTTGGTGCTAGTTGCGGATGCTGCTGCCACTTCAGTGCCTGTAGGAGTGAGAAGGGAGAGGTGAGAGAGCAAGCAGTTCGGCCATCCTGCTTTGGGGCACGCTGCACTTCCCTTGCTGCTGTGGTGGGGGCACTGGTGCTATTGCTGTGACCGTTTTGCTACTCCAGTGCGCACAAGAGACGCAAAGAGGGGGTGAGGAATGAGGGCGGGTGAATGTAGGTTGGAACAGCAGGCAGTGTGGGCGGGCGGAGATTGGCCGGAGATCTCAGCAGCAGCACACATCTCAAATGATTTCTTTTGGAAGTGAAAGTTTTGAATGGGTAATAAAACCACTGAACCATTTGTATTTGATTATGTACAGATTACACCAGCTGGAAGAGTATTCTACAGAAGGAAGTCCCCCCAGACCACAGCTTCACAGTTTCAGCATCCCTTCACATGTCCATGCCTTCCAACTGCAGAACCCATCAGAATTTTAGGCGCCTCAAAGCAGCCCCTGGTTTCAGCGCCCCTTGCTTGTATCCACTCCCTTGGACCGCAGGGCCTCGTCGCCGCTCTTCTCCATCGTAAACTGCCCTCGTGTTAAATTATATATTGTGTTATATAATTGTTAGGCTTGGTAGGTTACCGAACTATATTGTAGAGGGTACAATCCCCTCCTTGTATCCCTCTCTCTTTCTAGTTCACCCTCTTTTCTCTCGTCAAACTTGGTCCCCTAGCTCTCGACCTTCAAACCCCTCGCCATTTCATGGCTGCCCTACCATCCTAGCTAACCTAGTTTCGTAACACCTTGCTCCTCCCTGGCCAAACCACGGCACACATGGCAGACATGGTAGCTTTGCCGTGTCAAAACACAGGCTGTGCAGGAAGCGTGTCACCTATACACAATTCTTGACGCATTTTTAAATAGCAGACAAAGAAGCTTGTGCAATAGTGCAGCTGCCAGAGGCGACACTACGGCCCTGTCGATGTAGGCTGTGCAAACAACACGCCAACTCCCTAATGATAGCCTAGGTGTTAGAATAACGTAATGATTAGAAGGAAGAGGGAACAAGGGAGATATAGGGTTTGGTTTGTACTCTCTAAGAACACACACCTATTCTAGCCTATAACTTCTACATGCAAATGTATGTATAAGTTGACACACCCCTTATGCCAGATAAGGGGTAGTGCTGAGCAAGAAGCACATAGCTAAGGGTGGCACTACTAGTCCAACCTCTGAGACAGGGGTCCGAAGACCAGTCAGCAAGAGTACAAACAAGACAAGAGCAAACCAGGGCGGCACTACTAGTCCAGCCACTGGAAGAGAAGCCACAAGGCCAATCTAAAAGATATATATAAAGAGGAGTACACTATCAAGATCCTAGCAAGTGAGAGTCTACAGGAACTAGACCAAGCTGCAAACACGGCCACTGATGATCTTTAAGCGCAAGCGCCTTAGTAAAGATAACAGCTGTGTTGGCACTGGAGGCCAAGTGTACTATGCGCGCCTGGCGGCGCTGCTGTAGCTCGCGCAGGAGGAAGTGCCGTAGCTGGATGTGCTTCGCTCTGCCCTCAAGTCGAGGCTCCTGACACAGGAGGATCATGGCCTTGTTGTCAGTGTACAAGACCGGGGCAGAACTAGGCCGCTCACCTAAGTCAGTGAGCAAGAACGTCAGCCAGCGGAGCTCCTGTGCCGCCATGGCAGCCGCGTAGATCTCAGCCTCACAGCTAGACTGGGCAACAGACGATGAGTGAGTGGACCTCCACGAGATGGCAGCCGAACCAAGGCTAAAGCAGTAGCCCTGTGAGGACCTGAGGGTCTCAGCGTTGTCTGCCCAAGAAGCGCCTATGTGTCCAGTAAGGACCACTGGTCTTCGTCCTCCCAGCACTAACCCCATGCCCGATGTACTTGCTAGATAACGCAAAACCCTCTTAGCGGCCGACCAATGCTGTGGTCGGTGTCTGCCTGTGGCCACAAAGCGTGCCAGGATGCCGAGAGGGTATGCAAGATCTAGACGAGTGCAAGTCATCAGGTACATGAGGCAACCCACTAGCTCTGCGTAAGGACCACTGGGCTCTACTGACTCCTCAGGAACTGGAGCAAAGAGCCTGTGATCTTCTGGCAGAGGTGTGGGCTGTGCGAAGGAGAAATGAAGACCGAACCTCTGAAGGACTTGGCGCACCAAGTGTGAATGTGTGAGGGTGATGGTGCGCGCTACTCTGTCCCTGGAGATCTGCAAGCCAAGGTAGCGGCGCAACTCTCCTAGGTCAGTGCATGTGTGTCTCCTCAGCAGCTCGGCCTTCACGGAGGCCAGCGCGTCTCTGTCTGCAGTAGCAAAGACCACGTCGTCTACGTAGACATGGATGTAGAATGGAGTCTGGCTAGCACGAACGAAGAGGGAGGGGTCTGCAGAGGACGGGAAGAATTGCAGGTCAACTAGCGTAGCACGCAGTGTGTCGTTCCACTCATGGGGCGCCTGTCGCAGGCCGTAGACTGGGCGCCGAAGAAGCCACTAGGTCCCAGGAGGGAAGGTACCAGTAAAGCCCTGAGGACGGCGCAGGTAGACCTGCTCGTGCAAACTGCCCTGTTGAAACGCTGTGGAGAAGTCGAGGGAGTATAACTCGTAGTCACGCTGTGCTGCTACGTGTAGTAGCGTATGAAGAGTAGTCATCTTCGGGGTCGGGGCAAAGGTCTGAAAGTAGTCTACCCCCTCACGCTGACTGAAGCCTCTAGCCATGTAGCGCGCCTTGAACACAGGCGGCTCTCCAAGGGGGCGCTTCACTTTGAAGAGCCACCGGCCATCGACTACGTTCACCCTAGGTGGGGGAACTGCGTTGACGTAGGTGCCGGTGGATCTCCAAGATGCCATCTCCTGCTCCATAGCAGCTATCCACTGAGAGGCCCAGGGTCCCGAGGTCGCCACAGCGTAAGTGCGAGGGGTCAGGATGTCAAAGGCGTTAGGGTCACCCTCAGGGACTAGCAGCATGGAGCAGAGATGGGGAGCAGCCTCGAACAAGAAAGGAAGCTCCGGAGCTGGCACCGGTGCTGGATAGGGCTCTCGTTCTGGGGGTGCTGGTTCTACGGGTGCTAGTTCTGGGGTTCCTGTCGTGGCTCGTCCCGGCGGTCCTGGGATTGGCCCTGGTGTTGGAGAGGGTTCTCGCTCTGGGGGTGTTGGTGTGGAGTGTCCCGTAGGTAGCTGTGGTGCAGCTGGAGGTTCTGGTGTCGGCGTGGACAAGTAGAAGCAGCAGCAGTCACCGCCAATGTCTGCCCTTCGCCTCCTCGGACTTCCCTTCCCTGACCACCCACCTGGGCCTCCCCCGCCGCCGCCTCCCCTGCTTGTCTATGGCCCTCTGTTTCCGCTGCCGGACTCGTCTCCGGCTTGTTTCCCCCCTCGTTCTCCTCCTGTGTCTCCTCCTGTGTCTCATGACCCGACGCCTCCGTCCCACTTCTGGTCTCGCCGTCCCTCTCGTGCTCGTCCCGTCTCTCCCGTTCAGCGCTCTCACCCTATGTTGTTCCATTCCCACGCGTCTCGTGTGATGGACGCGGAGATGGCATCTTGGAGATCCACCGGCACCTATTTCGACGCAGTTCCCCCACATGGGGTGAACGTAGTCGATGGCCGGTGGCTCTTCAAGGAAAAGTACCCTCCTGGTGAGCCGCCTGTGTTCAAGGCGCACTACATGGCTAGAGGCTTCAGTTAGCGCGAGGGTGTTGACCTCTTTTAGACCTTCGCCTCGACCCTGAAAAAGACCCCTCTTCGGGCGCTGCTATACGTAGCAGCTCAGCGTGACTAGGAGCTGCACTCTCTTGACTTCTCCACAGCGTTTCTCCAGGGTAGTTTGCACGAGCAGGTCTACCTGCGCCGTCCGCCGGGGTTCACCCACACCTTCGCCCCTAGGATCGAGTGGCTCCTCTGGCGCCCAGTTTATGACCTGCGGCAGGCGCCCCGTGAGTGGCACGACACGCTGCGAGCTACGTTAGCTGACTTACAGTTCTTCCCATAGTCTGCCGACCCTTCACTCTTCGTCCATTCAAGACATAACCCGTTCTATATCATTGTTTACGTAGATGACCTGGTCTTTGCTACTGCAGACAGAGACGCTCTGGCCTCGGTGAAGGCTGATCTGCTGAGGAGACACACCAACACTGACCTAGGAGAGTTGCGTCGCTACCTTGGGCTGCAGATCTCCAGGGACAGAGCAACGCGGACCATCACTCTCACACAGTCACACTTGGTGCGCCAGGTCCTTCAGAGGTTCAGTCTTTAGTTCTCCTCTGCGCAACCCACACTTCTGCCAGCTGATCACTGGCTATCGGCTCCATTGCATGAGGAGTCGGTAGAGCCTAGCGGTTCGTACGCAGAGCTAGTGGGTTTCCTCCAGGGCAGACGTTAACACGGTAGTTACTATGACTTGACTGAAATTCCAAGCTTTTTCGAGAGAATCATGAGGATTTATCTACTAACCCGTAGGAGTCCGGGGGGATTTTGAGGGGGCCCGGACATCTAGTTAGCCTCTAGGGGGTGTAGAAATCTGTCAAACTTCCCGTTCTTCCCTTTCACCCTTAGCCCCACTCTGCTCTTCCCATCCAACCCTTAGTTTAGCGGTTGGTTTTATGAAGAGCTGCCAAGAACAATTATCCATGCCACTCAAAACCGCCCCATCCCTCCCACCAAACCCCCTTTCCCTCCCACCAAACTCCCTTTCTTCTCAGCCCCATGGCCTAAATATAGCACCTTCACGTGCGTGATTCATCTGCAGCATAGGTGTTGGTGAGGGGGCAAGTTTCCCACCCCGAAGTCGCCCACTGGCACCCTCACTATATTGTCTAGCAAAGATGGGTTACAACCTATCAGGCCTTTTTAAGCACGGACCCTGAAGAATCAAGGTAACTTTTTTACAAGGCCGGATTTTACAGGGCGATTTTCCTAGGGGCCCGTATCGTCCGAGATGGCGAAAAACCTAGCGAGAGCCCTGGTTGCCTCATGTACCTGATGACTTGCACTCATCCAGATCTCGCATACCCTCTCAGCATCCTGGCTCGCTTCGTGGTGACAGGCAGATACCGACCACAACACTGGTCGGCAGCTAAGAGGGTTTTGCGTTATCTAGCTAGTTCATCGGACATGGGGCTGGTGCTAGGAGGACGCATGCCAGTGGTCCTTACATGGAACACAGACGCTTCGTGGGTTGACGGCACTGAGGCGCTCAGGTCCTCTCAGGGCTACTGCTTTAGCCTTGGTGCAGGTGTCAAACATGTGTATTTGTCATGTTTGTATAGACTGTATAGGGTCGCCTCTTAGAGAGTACAACACTTAGGTATATCTGTGTGTACTCTCACTCTATCCAATTCACTTGTTCAATTCCTGATATGGTATCACGCGTAGGTAGGATCCCCCCCACCTACCGCTTCCGCTCGCCCCCCCTAGCCCCGTCGCGACCCCCCCCTAGCCCCGTCGCGCCCCTTCCTGGGACCCGTCGCGCCCCTCCTTGGGCCCCGTCGCGCCCCTTCCCAGGCCCCGTCGTGCCCCTCCTGGGCCCCGTAGCGCCCCTCCTGGGCCCCGTTGCGCTCCTCCTAGGCCCCGTAACGCCCCT